TTCCTTTTGCGGTATTTAATTAGATAAATATATTATTGTTAAATGAGTTTATTTTTAATACTGATTATAAAATTTAGGTAACTCTTTGGCCCACATGAGTGGCACTAAACCCTATGACAAGTCTATGACATCCGTACACAACGATCTATTTATACGGACAACTTTGGGGGGTATTTTCGTAATATTTAATTTAAATAAATAAATATAATCTTAGATTTAATTTTAGATTTAATTTTTTAGGCGCTTATCATAACTATCATCACGTATTTCCCTGGGATTACTCTGAGAGTGAGTTTGGATGGGATATTAACTTCAATGTCAACACTTTGTTCATTGATTTGTTTCATGCGATCGGATGGGCCTATGATTTGAAGAGAGCGCCCAAACACATGATTGAGATGAGGAAAGTCAGAACTGGAGGTCAATTTGATGAGACATTTATTCAGAAGAGACCACTTCTTGACTGGATTTATGGACTTTTTATAAGCAGTGCTTTCTTTCAGTTACTTTTAGTTTTGAATTTTCTATTTAAATATGCAATTATGTGTAAATCAATAAATTAATGTAATTATRTGTTATTAGTGATTAGTGTCTTAAAATTTAATTATAATTAATATAAGGAATTTTTATAAGTTCAGTATTTTATAAATATTATAATTACAATAATACTAATAATGTTAAACAATACTATTGTACTTCTGACATTAAATCAATCATTAAATGAACTTTAAATTAAATATAATATCTCATTTTAATACTATAATTAAAATAGTACATTAAATTAATAACAATTTAATAAAAATGACAATAATTAAAAATAACAATTTAATCATTTTTTCATCAAATAGATGTTACCGTTGTTGCGCACATAATTTGGCATGGAAGGTAATGCGATAAGTGGCAGGTTTCGTGGTAATTGGTTCCCCTGGAATTTGCTAGATTTAGGGGCACAAAATCCCAGCCATGTTATAAGTTTTTATTATGTGTCAAATTCATGCCACTCATAATTTTTTATCATTATTTAATGCGATTATTAATGCGAATTAAATTTATTATATATTTGATTATTAATTTTATAGTATTGATCGATCATTTATTAATTATAGATCGATCCTATAATATTAAATTATTTATTTATTTATTGATTGATCATATATTTAATTAATTATAACTAAATTTAGATATTTAAAACACTTATAGTAGTGTAGATACCAGTTATCACATTTACTGCCATTCGGTTATTTTAGTTATCGCATTATCTTCCAGGGTATGGCAGGTTTAGTGGTAATTAGTTCCATACCTTTATGACACTTTTAATTAATTTTTAAAATTGATATGGCAAGTTATGTGGTTAAAAACGGTAAGTCAAAAGTAAATATCATAATTATTATAATATACTTATTGTATACAATAATTATTGAAATCGCTACAGAATTTGCTAATTTGAGTCTTATTTAGGCTAAAATTTAATTATGGTTTTATATTATAAAATTTAGAATATTAAAATAAAATTTTTATTTAAAACTTACAAATAATATTAACTTTATTAAGTTTTGAGATAAAATTTAGACATAGTGCGCCATCAATGTAAAATTATTTTATTTATTAAATGATATATTATTTTGTCCTCAAAGTCTAAAAAATTTATTTAAACAAATTTTATTTTAAAAATATTAGTAAAAACAAAGAGATATTCATAATTTATCTCATAAATTAATTTTGTTATGTTTTTATTTATTTAACTTTTATGTTACAAAAACTTTTATGTATTACTGTGGCAAATATATTTCGAGACAAATTGTAATATGAAAACTTAATAGATTTTTCTGCATTCGGTTTAATAATTAAAAATTATTTTTTTATGGTATTAAATTGTAGAGATATTCATTATTATTGTTAATTTTTTAAAATATTTTATAGTATAATAATTAAAGTTTTATAATGCTACAAAATTAGTAACCTCAATTTTTAGAATTGTATAATTTATAAAATCTAAGAAAAACTATTAATCCTGATAAAATAATACAAGTATTTTTATTTTATTAGATTTCTGACAATTAAAGAATTATTTATGAAAAATTACAAAAAAATACAATTTATACTTATTTCTAAAAAACGAAAATAAATTTTAAAATGTTTTTGTTATTTATTAAAATTATATTATTCTAATAAATTTTTTAAAATGATTAAATATTATATTATGTTGCCTGCTTTTAAGAAAATAATAAAATAATTTTTTATTATTGACGAAAATACCAAACATTATTAAAAATTAAAATTGTGCTATTTTGGAAGACAAATTTAGACCTAATTTTAGATAAAATTATTTATTAAAAATTGTAAGCATTTGATAAACTTACTGATTTTTACTAAAAAATAAACATCAAATATTACTCTTTAAAATTAATATTTTTTTGTTTAAATTTATTTTTATTTTAAACATAAAAATATCAAAAAAGATTACTGTTTTAAAATGTCATTTATCAAATATTTTTGTAAATAATTCCGAAAACTTTTTAGACAAAGATATTAAACTACTATTATTTTGATAAGTGATAATCATAGAAAATATGTACATTAAAACAAAAATATAAAACATTCTAATATTCGAATTATTTTAGAAAAACTTAGTACAAAGATTCTGTCTCGAAATTTACTAGCCACAGTAATAAATTACAATAACAACAAACCACTTGGTCAATTTGACTTTTATGTTACATTTGATTAGTGTAACGCACTCTCTACAAAATAAATTATAAAACTAAATTTATAAACCAGTATTAAAAGTTTGGATACATATAGCGTATGCATTTGCGAGTAATTTGTTATTTTTTGAATAATTGTAAAATTAACTATTAATAGATAATTACATCGAACATAATATACTTGACTTATCTAGTTAATTTTATAATTAATCAAAAAATGACCAATTACATAAATATTGAATTTAATATTATCTACAGTTATGCCCTTGGTCATTTTTAAATTGAATGTATTGTTTATCATATATTTAGTATAAACTAAGACTATACTAATATATTCGAGTAAATAACTTTAATTCGATAATTAACTCGAATACTCTGCAAAATGCATACACTGTCTGTATCGACACTTTTAATCTGTTATAAACTGAATTAATAATATTATTGATATTCTAATAAAATAATAAAAATAATAATTAGATTTTATATTACTTTAAGTTATTTTATACTAAGTATTACATAATTCTTAAAAATTAATGTTTTATAATTGTTAGTTTGTCAAGTACAATTTTATATTTAATATAATTGAAATTGAAATTGATCAAATAAATAAAATTAATTAATTTAGTAATATATGTTCTTTGCTTTACATCAAAACATCGTAACACAAAAAGCCCTTTAATATAATATTTATTATTTTCTAATCATTTAAATCTAATTAGTCACTGGGAAATTATATGCAATTATGGCAATTAATTATGTATATTAATTACAATATTGTACAACAAAATGCGTTAAATTGATATTTTTGATGTAATATTAAATAAATTTTTAGAAWTTGTATTTTTAATTTTGTAGTAGATAAATCTATTTGTTTAAAGTAATCAACATAACTATGTAGGCAGATTTTAAAATAATAATTTTATATATAAGTATTGTACAATTATCTTTATTATTAAATATATAATTACATTATTGATTTTTTTAAAATATTATTTCAGTTGTTATTAATATTATTCTTATAAATTTATTTTATAAACTGTTGTTTAAATAATAATTATTATTAGAAAATGAATTTTAATAAACGCATGAATTCATTACCACTGATCCGATCAGTAGGTCGACCCAAGAAGTTGTTGGACAACGAGTCCCGCAATCGTCGGGATATCGCCAATAATCACGAAAGAAAACGTATGCAAAGTATTAATGATGGCATACAAGCCTTGCGACGGATTCTCAGACATAAAGACATCGAAAAGATCAGTAAAGCGACGGTTTTGTTGAGAAGCGCTGAATATTTACTAAGACTTGAGAATGAGATCAAAGTTGTCAATCAAGAGAACCATCGACTCAAATGTCTGGTCAAACATCTCATTCATAACAACCTATTGACTCAATCATCTACTATTCATAAGCATTTTTGCGGAAAAATTTTGGATTCATTTGGTATTGTATTTAGTTTTTTTACAAAATATTAATTTTTACAAATATATGGATAAAGGAGAAGATATACTATTGTACAGTATATTACATTAAAATACAATTTATTATCAATTTTCTAAATATAATAAATAATTTGTTTGTTGATATTTTTATTATAGATTTGGAAATCAATGAAAGTATATATGAAAATTCGTTTTCTGATAAAGAAATCTGTTTTAATAATATTGATGACAAAAATAATGATGATTATAATGTCGAAGCAATTGATTTATCAAAACATTAAGTTTATAGTTTGATAATATCTGTTAAATTGCAAATAACACTATATAATAAATATATATTTAAAATAATTTTTGTATCAACTATTTATATTATTATCAATAAAATATATCTATTAAAAAATAAAATTATGTATTTAGTACAAACCATATACTATTAAAATATATTAATATCGTTTCATTTGTATTTTGGAGAAATTGTAAAATATTATTATTATATTTTTATATATATAAATATTTAATTAAAAAAATAAAAATTAATTAAACAATATTGTATTAAATTAATTTAACACAAATAATATAAATATACTTAATTTTAAATTATTGATTTATATTTAATTACTTGTAGTAATTAAAATCAGATCAATTATTTTAAAATAATTAAACAATGATAGTAAACAATTAGTCACAAAAACAATATTTTTTGCCTTAATTTTTCCTTTTAACAATATTGTCAACAAAATAAAATTGACATAATATTCATATTGTAGTTAATGTTGTGACTGAATATTATTTATAAAAAAATTGGATTTAATAATAAATTAGTTTAAGATATTTTATAAAGTTAACAATCAAAATGGCTAACATTGAAATAGGTCTGTGCGGACAACAGACTGAGCCCAGGTATGCGGTTCACGTGCGGAACGTTAACTTTTGTTACTCAAAAGATACTATAGTTTTGGAGCGTATGAATGTTAAAATTGAAGAGGGTAACTTACTAAAATACTTACTAAATAATTATTGTATGATTATTTATTTTTTATGATTAATTATTTAATTTTAGGAAAGATTTTTGGATTATTAGGATCTAATGGTTGCGGGAAAACAACATTATTAAGATTAATATTAGGACGACTTCAACCACATTCTGGTCATATAAGTATTTTTGGTGTCAAACCGGGCAGTAAATATTCAGACATACCCGGACCAGGTGTTGGATATATGCCACAAGAGTTGGCTCTCTATAATGAGTTTACAATTGAAGAAACGTTAACATATTATGGGATTTTAAATAATATGAATATCAATGACATTAAGCAAAGAATTGAAATGTTAGCCAAATTGTTGAGTATTTCCAATAATAAAAAACGCGTCAGTAGTCTAAGTGGTGGACAACAAAGACTGGTATCAATGGCCATAACAATGATACATAAGCCTAAGCTTTTGATTTTAGATGAACCAACTGTTGGCGTCGATTCCCTTATACGGCTCAGAATTTGGACTTATTTGGAGAATATATCAAAAAATGATAGTAATATAATAATTATTTAATATTATTATAATTATTATAAATTAAATTGAATTATATTTTAAAATTAATAGATGTGACTATAATAGTAACGACTCATTATATAGAAGAGGCACGAAAGGCAACTCATGTTGGGTTTGTTACTAATGGATATCTATTGGCACAGTCACCACCACAACAGCTTATGGATCAATATGGGGTCAAATCGTTAGAAGAGGTTTACCTAAAGCTGACAATTACAAGACGTCGTTCCCGAAGACAATCACTCAATCCATTGCTGTTTTCAGAAGAAAGGGATGCCATCGAAGTTAACGAAGAAAATCAAAAGTTTAATAAAATATCGCAAAAAAATAAATACTTGAGTTTGAGTCGGATGTCTGTCCTTTTGTGGCGAAACTATTTGCAACTCAAAGGAAATCCTTTATTGATTGTATCGTTTTATTCATTGACTGCTATTATCATTACATTGATGGCACTCGTATTTAATCAAGTAATTAAATTTTTAAACATTTATAAATAAAAAAATTATTAAAATTTATGTTATATTAATAGGATTTTAAAGACATGTCAATAGCTATATATAATGGAGAGTCGCCACCAGATTTGACCCAAGATTTTATTAAACATATAGACAATCGTATAATTATTGTTAACTATTATAATAGCAGTCAAAGTGCTATGGATTCAGTAGTTAATGGCGTAAATCTCTTGGCTCTTGAGTTTTCACAAAATTTTTCCAATGGATTTGAGGAACGCATACAATCACCTCAAGACGTTAGCGATCAGTCAATAGCGGACAGTACTGTCAAAATGACACTCGACATGTCCGACCCTATACTGTCTGCCTATACAAACGTACGTTTACTAAGAAGTTTGGTTTCATTTATTAAAGACTACAGTCTATCTATTAATTATAATCCCATGGCTTATACATTACCATTCAATATGACAACAATTTATTCGACATTAAAGCCATCATTTAAGGTAGTCTTTTAAAATATTTTGTTGTTATTATAATTGTAATTATTATAATGTAATTATTGGATTATATATTACTATTATTAAATAGCAATTTGTAGCACCCGGTTTGCTATTGGCCATACAATACGGACTAAATATGGTATTAACAGCATTTGTATTTATAATTGAGAAAAGAGGCGGTTGTTTGGAGAGGTGTTTCGTCAACGGTGTGACCGCTATTGAGATAATCTTAGTTCAAATCATATGGTTTACTGCAATACTCATAATTCAATCCGTATTATCACTGGTATTGTCTTTCTTTGTGTTTGACTTTATACTGTATGGCAACCATTTGGAGGCATTACTATTGCTTATACTTGAGGGCATTCATGGCCTTGTCTTCGGTATGATTACATCATTATTGGTGTCCAATGACTATAATGTTATGGTATGTATTATAATTGAATTTTTAAAATATYTATTCATTTCAAACCTAATTTAATGCAATATAACAGATGATTATGGTTTTTGCTACACTTCCTCTTTGGTTGATATCGGGTATGGTTTGGCCATTAGAAGCATTGCACTCATCAATGCAAAAATTTTGTCGACTTTTGCCACTTAGTTTGCCGACTGAGGCGTTGCGATCAATAATGTTTCGCGGATTAAATAGTTTCTATCCAGTAGTATACATGGGCTACCTGTCCAATCTGGCTTATATAACTGTCCTGTTGCTTATTTGCACATTTGTATTAATTAAACATCGATAAAACTTTATAATATAAATATTTAATTTTTGTCTAGAAGGAATTAAAACAATTTTTTAGAGTTGAATAAATTAAATTATGAATAATATACAGTATAATTGTGTAAGAAATAAATTGTTATAATTTATAACAATAACTAATATTCATAAATAGCTAATACGTTAAAAAAACTATATTTTTATAATTAGTGTGTTATAATTTTCTATATATGAAAACTAATTATTTAATTCTAAATATTTATTATTATATTATGTATTTTTAAAATACATTTTTTACAATATTGTATGAATTGATTGTTTTTATAATCTATGTACAACGTAGTATTTTTACATAATTAAATTTTTTATTATAATTTTTTTTGTGTTTTTATGTAATTATTTCAGATAAATTAAAGATTGTTAATTTATTATTATATATTTGTTTTGTATTATTATTAGATGCTAATAGTATAAGACTGATATATTTTATGAGCATTTTTTAAATAAAATGTATTGTTTTCTAATTATACACTGCATAATATACAGTATCATAATATTATATCTATATGTATTTATATATAAAACATACACTGGTACATTAATATAAATTATGTTTTTTAATTTTTACCTTTATAATAAAATATAACTAAAAAAAGTTACAAATAATATACTCTTCAATAAAAATAATACATTTAAAAAACTATTTTATTTAGTAAAATGTAATAATACAATTTTAATGATTTAAATTTATATAATTTAATAATTTATAATAACTTATATTTAAAACATGGCATCAATTTGATCGTATTGTTGCTTTAAAAAGCGAACCGTCCTAAAGCTTCTAACGTATCCAATCACACGGTTTACACTAATAGTCGACGATATCATATGTTTAGCCGATGTGACCAAATTGATCACTTGGTTGACACCATTTGTGACAAAACAATTGCATTTCGGATTGTTTTCCATTATTTTTAGAGAAACCAAAGTAATAGCGTTTTAAATATTAATAAATTGTTTTTTATATTACTATTTTATTTGAGTATAAAAAATTTAGTTTACAAAGTATTTATATATAAAGGAAAATTATTACGCATTTAATTAACTGACAAAATATTAATATAATAAATGAAAATTAATTTAATTATTCATCTTTTAAGTTCAAATGCTTTTATTTTTTATAGGGAAAAATATAATAAAAATCATTTTAATTAATTTTTTTAAAAATTCTTTATTTTTAGTTTTATGCAATTAATAATAATTATAACTATTGTATATTATATTAATTATATTGCTTAATCATCATTTATTAAGATAATAAATTGTTTAATAATAATAATAATAATAAATTAAGATAAAATTAATAAAATAATAATCTAATTGTATATAAATTTAATTTTTAATATAGAAAAATTCACAAAAATTTATATTAGAGTAAATTAAAAACTATATACTTTATAATAAAATAAAATTGAATTTATTGCATTGCATTGATGATATATTAAATACTAATAATTTATTTGTTTTAAGTTAAAATTAAGTTAAGATAACTATATAACGATAAAGCGTTATTAAAATTAATTATTATTTTTAATATAAAATTTTTATTCAATAAAAAAGAAATAAAAAAGAAATAATTTTTTATATATATTAAAATATTAAAAATGCTTATTTTGAATTTATAAAGATATTTATTGTATAAATATTTTAAAAAGCATAGATACATATATTAACGCTCATTTACAAACATTTTAAAATAATAAATTTAATTAACAAATAGTTTGTAATAATTTCAAATTTGTTAGATTTATAATAAAAATTGTTTGACAAATATTATTTAAATTTATAAGCAATGAACAAACAGAGTGGTAGAACCCATATATCAAATTGTTTAACGAAGACATATATCCAAATCGGTGCAAACAAAACACTAATACCGGTCAACATCTCAATAAACAACGACCTGTGGTTATATCCGACATCTCCGACACGTTTTTGTCTGCTCTCAACAATCTCTTTCGATGCCTTTTTCAAATCATATGCCCAACCAATAGATGCAAACATATCGATGAAAGCTGTGGCCGGATTAAAGGCATCCCATGGACCCAATTCACTGGCCGAGTAATCCCTGTTTTTAGATAATTTTAAATAATTAATAAAATATAATATAATAATTAATATAATATAATACAAATAAAACAAACCATGGAAATGCGTGGTGATAATTATGGAAACCCTCACCCATCAGATAGTGTCTCATATGAGCCTCAACCGGCACTATATCTTTATCGTAGGGCTAGAAAATGTTATTGAAATTAATCAAAACAATTATATATATATATATATATATATGAATAATTACAGAGCACCCACCTTCATGCCCCACATATGAGCGGCACTATTGACACACCAGGTTAGGTTAAGAGTGGCAGCATAACGAAGCATTACACAAATAAACCATGAATTCCATAGGGATTCACCCCATAGCAGGTATGGTATATATGTGGGAAATGCAGCCCATATTAGTCCCAATAATGGTATATAAAAAGCTCGTTGAAAGCGAACCAACGGGTCTTTTGCCAAATCAGTCATATCAAGTGTTTTTCCTCTTTCTTTGACCTCCGGGTGCTTTTTGCAGAGCAACCAACCGACGTGTGAAAAGAAAAATCCTCTCTGAGAGTTATGAGGATCGGCGTCAGTGTCAGAGTATTTGTGGTGAAGTCGATGGTCTCGACTCCACTCAAAGATATCATTTTGAAGGGCCAATGTCTGTAATACCATTAATATGATTTGAAGCGGTAGTTTGGCTTTATATGTTCGGTGACACCATAGTCTATGTGCCCCACACTGTCATAAAGTAAAAAGATATTTATTCAACAATTTTTTTATTAAACAGACAAACAAATGCTTATGTGTTTACCTGAATACCCATTGAAGACATGAAAGCAATAAAATATGAAAATATAACTGTTTGTACTTTTGCTCCTCTGATTGTCAAATAGGCGCCATAGAGACCCGAGATGTGTATTATAGCCATCAAAATAATGTTACGCCAAACCAACTCAAGTTTGTATGGCTTAACCACTTTAGTGTCAGCATTGGTACCATTAGAGTCCATCACTTGGTTTTCAGTTTTACTTATAGACCTAATTTTGAAAATAAAATGTTAAAATTAATTCACGTGTTTTGATAACTTCTTAAACAATAAAATAAAGTATTAATAATTTACATTTTATTAAATGATGTTATTATTTGATGTTACAAATTAAAACTTAATAGTTTTTATGTTTGAACACAAATCTGGATGTTTATATAGCATTTATTTATATGATAATTAACTTATTACGTTAATAAGGTAAAAATTAATTAATTAATTAATTTTCACTTAAAATATATTGCAATATTAAAAACAAGTTAGAAAAAACACATTAACAATTATATTGCAATTAATAATTAACTAATAAAAAAATCACGTATTTTCTGTAATAACTGTGTTAATTAATTAATAGTATTATATATCATAGAAATAGCAAAATTTTACCAAGGATATTAAGTTTGGTAGATCATTTAAATGTTAATTATTATTTTATTTATATTTAATAATTTACATATTAGATATTAAACAATATTCAAACATTTACAATTATTAATGTGAAACTAACTTTATAGTTTGTAGTAATACGTTAAAACCAATAGAATCTAATCATATGCAAACTTTATTTAATAACTATATTTCTTTAATAATTAAAGATAGGATTTAATAAAACATAATTAAATTGTTATATGATTTGAATAGTTTATACGATTAAATAACTAATAATATAATTAAATACACTGTTTTGTTCTAACATTATTGAATTATAATTCAATTGCATTTAAACTTACAAAAATCTCAAATTTATAATAAAATATTTTGTAATACTGTGTAAATTTATAACATAAGATACTGTATAGTAGATGTATTTTATTTTGTTCATATATATATAGATACTAAGTTACAAAAATTTCATATTTGATTGGATTGTGCTGGTTATAGCGTACACTACAATAAATTATTATAAAATTTTCAAATGATTATTCAACAATTAGTTTTAATAACTATAAATATATTATTAATTATATAGTTTTTATTAATTGACAAATTTTACATCTTTGATGAGAGTCTAATGTTATCTGAGTCACACTCGTGAACACAAATTTTATCTTAAATTATAAAAATATCTTAAATCAAATTCAATTGTTAATTTAAAAAATAAAATCAATATATAAATGTTATGAGAATACACATTAAACCATATAAATAAAAATATTATATTTATAATGTATTAGGTCTGCAAAAAATAATATTTAAATATACAAAATATTTATCATATAATTTTTAGTTTATAAATACTGTAATTAATTAATTTTTTTAAATTAAAAACTTTGATAACAATTTAAGTCATATTTATATTATTTTCAATAGAAGTTTTTGCTTAACTGACTGTAATCAATTAATATTTAACTTTATATAATATAAATAAATTATTTATAAATAATTTTCATAGTTAATACAAAAATTGTACAATTATTGTATTTAATAATAAAATAATTATTAATTTTAGAAATTACTTATATAATATTTTACATTGTAAAGTAATATAAAAACAATTACCTGTAAACACTAATTAATATACAACAATATATTATAGATTAAAGAAAACTAAATATACCGGTAATTTAAAAATTGACATAAAATAAAATAATTTACAATTTACTTATAATAAAGTAAATGATAACAATAGTCCAGATATTGTATCTAATTAAAGGAAAAGTCCAAAAAGGAAGTGTCAATATCGACAGTCCTTTCATGTACTCCACTGAAGTAGACGTGTGCTTAAAATTACTGTTTCCTGTCTTAGATTGTCTATTATTGACCACATCTTTGGACGCCCTTTTCAAATCATATGCCCATCCGATCCACGCAAACAAGTCAATGAAAGTTGTGGCCGGATTGAAGGTATCCCACGTTCCCAACTCACTGGCCGAGTAATCCCTGTTTATATTATCAATAATTTATTAATATTATTATTATTATGGAAATACTCAAGAGTTATACAAACCAGGGAAATACGTGATGATAGTTATGAAAGCCTTCGCCCATTAAATAATTTTTCATATTTGCCTCAACCGGTGCAATGCTATTGTCGTAAGGCTTTTAAAAATATATGAATTAATAATAATTAAATAATTAAATGATTAAAACAAATACTTTCATTCCCCACAAATGTGCGGCACTATTGACACACCACGTGATGTTCAAAGTGTATGTATAGCGTAATATTACACACGTAAACCATGCATTGAATAGGGATTCGCCCCAAAAATAGTATGGAATATATGTGGGTATTAAACCCCACAACACAATAACCAATGGTATATAAAATGCTCGTTGAAAGCGAATCAATGGGTTGTTTAGCAAATCAGTCATATCAAGTGTTTTTCCCTTTTCTTTGACCTCCGGGTGCTTTTTGCAGAGCAACCAACCGATGTGTGAGAAGAAAAATCCTCTCCGAGAGTTATGTGGATCGGCGTCGGTGTCTGAAAACTTGTGGTGCAGACGATGGTCGCGACTCCACTCAAAGATATCATTCTCGAGTGCCATCGTATTGAAGATCACTAACAATATCTGTAGCGGAAGTTTGGCTTTATATGTCCGGTGACACCAAAGTCTATGTGCTCCACACTGTTATTATTATGTTATTAATTTACAAATACATTGATTAGTTTATTTAATAACCTGAATACCAAGTGTTCCCGAAAATATAGCAATAAAGTAACCCCAGATGAATGTTGACCACTGACAGTCATAAATTGCCAGATATAGGCCATACACGGCTGAACAGTGCAATAAAAACATTAGGATTATATTACGCCAAACCAATTGTCTCTTATATTCATATTTAACGCTATGATCTGACCCATCATTTACAATAGGATCTAATTTTGTATCCATGAATGATCTAAATAAAAAAATTAATAATATAATATGATTATAAAATAAGTCATCATTACATTATATATATATATATATCGGATATTTACTTAAGCTCTTTAATATGACTAACACGACTTATATTAATAAATTTATTTGTAATAATAAAAAAATATTTTATTAAAAACATAATTTAATTACTTTTGATGATTTCAAATCAACAAAATACACGTCTTTTAGATTAACGTCATTAGTAACGTTAATTTTCTATAATTATTTAATCACTTTTTATATTATTTGTATATTTTGTCTTTTTATTTTTTTTGACATTTAATAATTTTGATTAATCTTAATTTAATTAAATATTGTTTACCAAWATACTACTAAAGCCAATGTAATTAAAATTTAATAAACTAGGATATTTTATAATTTTAATAATTTGAATTTAGAATATAAAATATTAATTACACTTAGATTGTGTAAAATATAATTTAATTTGTTTATCGAAATACAATAAAACAATATTTAGCACTATATTAAATTAATGCTATTTATTATAATTGAGTATAGAAAATAAATTTTAAATATTTGAAAAATGTTTTATTTAGAAATAAAATTATATAGAAATTTAAAGCAAACATATAATGAATAAAAACCATATAATTTTTAGTAAATATAATATAAAATAAAAAATTTATTAATAAATACATATTTGCATTAATTATAACTTATAACAAAGTATTAAAATATTAAACATAAATGCAGTTTTTGTATTTTCAATTTTTTTATTTTTACCAAAAATAGTAATAAAAATTAATATTAAATTCAATAATTACTATAATCAAATGTTATTTAAATAATTTAAAAATATAAACAATTTTTTTTACAAAAACGTTTTATTTAATATAAWAATATATATATTTATAAATTTAATTTTTCAATATAATTTATTTAATACTAGTTTAGTCAATCTTTTTAACATTATTAACATTAATGTCATTATTATTAGTATAACTTTGATTATAGACATAAGTTCTAACATAGAAATCATAGAACATATAGAAGAAGAATATTGGTTGTGGGAAAGCCACGTATAGCCAGAATACGGGGTAACCCCTCTGGAAAAATAAAAATATAAAACCATAGATGCCTAGTATGATAAATTGAGCCAGTTGCATTTGGGTTATGTACCGTTTCCACCACAAATACCTTTTAACTCTGGGTCCAAATGCAGACAAAAAATAGTAGCCATACATCAAAAAATGTATGAATGAATTCATTAGCGAAAACAGTCGAAGTCCTGGTATGAACGGTGCAATCTTAATGATAAGCCAACCAAATAACGGGACAACCATATGATGATACATATGAAGGAGTGTTAGATGAGAGTCTTTTTTGCGCAAACAGAAGAATATACTGTCAAACCAATCGAGAAGTTTTGATATTAAATAACAAAAACCTAATAATGAAAACAGTTTTTTTTGTTAATTAGTAATTTTAACTAAAAGTATTCAAATATTTTTATACCTAATATAATCATAACTCGCGATTCCTCGTTGGATGACTTATCTGTGGGATAGTCGACATCAAATATTACCCGTCCGTAATCCATATATTCCAAACATGTAATAAACGCAAACAGATTGCCAAAAGACATACCGGCGTTATATATGAGTAAAATCCATCTTAAATTAAATGGTTTCCTTTTCTCCATGTATTGTGGGATAAATACTTTAACTAACATGAAATAGGAGGTTAAAAATAATATGGGAATTCCCAGACCATAATCAATAAGTGGCAAATGTTTGGTCCGCGGGTCCTGCATATCAAACAGGTAGTCATATATGCAATAATTTACAGCAGACATAAAGTCATCGATCAGTAATAAAGTTTTAGCACTAACTAATAGTGGCATTTTTGTTATAATACAAATTATTATAGTTAACTATTTGTTAACAATTACAATAATAATAAAATAAGAAACAAATTTAATCAATAAATCAGTTAGACTTAAAAAATAAGTTTTTATATAAGATTTTTTAATTTCTTTAAAAATACAATTTTTAAATACTTATTACACTTGATTATATTCTAATGAAAATATATATATAAATATACAAAATATATTTATTTGACAAATATGCTTGATGAACTTGAATTTAAATTAACAGTAACTAATAATTGGATGACATATATAAATGTATAAAGTTTAATTAATTATTTGCCTATTATTAACAAAATTGTAATGCAATTAGCAATTATGTTCAAGGATTTTGATAAATAATTAATAATTAATAAAATAATTTTAAGGAAAATGAATAAAACTGTTTAAGGTTTTGTCAATTTTGTGATAATCGCTGTAGTATTTTAAGGATAGTATCTCAACACAATATAGATTGATTACAAAATTTAAATTAAAAACTTGATTTAAAATTGGTTTTATATTTAAGATTAGCTATTGATGTCTATACAAATCAATCTATGTAATTAGTTAAATATTATACTATTTTTCAATTGCTTGACAGCTTAACGCGCTAACAACAAACGTGTGCCATCGGCACAAATCGATGTATACCTTTGAATCCTAAAGTGTGCCGTCGGCACAGAGCAAATCAACCAATCAGAATTGATCGAATAAAATTTAAACTATAGTTGATTTTAAAAATTTATCCATATGTTAATAAAGATTTATTTTATGTATGTCTTTAATAAGCAATTATAAAATATGTTTAAATTTTTTCATTTATACTTAGTCACAAATTATAAAATGGGAAAAAATAGCTGAAGATGGTGATAATTAGATCCAATTATCATCTAATGGTAAAAATAGCTGAAGATGGTGATAATTAGATCCAATTATCATCTAATGGTAAAAATAGCTGAAGATGGTGATAATTAGATCCAATTATCATCTAATGGTAAAAATAGCTGAAGATGGTGATAATTAGATCCAATTATCATCTAATGGTAAAAATAGCTGAAGATGATGATAATTAGATCCAATTATCATCTAATGGTAAAAATAGCTGAAGATGATGATAATTAGATCCAATTATCATCTAATGGTAAAAATAGCTGGAAATACTAATAGCAAATGTATAATTTTAGATCACAAGCTGATTTTACCATTAAATGATAATATAATCTATTCCTCAACTTCTTAAGCTGATTTTACCATTAAATGATAATATGATCTATTCCTCAACTTCTTAAGCTGATTTTACCATTAAATGATAATATGATCTATTCCTCAACTTCTTAAGCTGATTTTACCATTAAATGATAATATGATCTATTCCTCAACTTCTTAAGCTGATTTTACCATTAAATGATAATATGATCTATTCCTCAACTTCTTAAGCTGATTTTACCATTAAATGATAATATGATCTATTCCTCAACTTCTTAAGCTGATTTTACCATTAAATGATAATATGATCTATTCCTCAACTTCTTAAGCTGATTTTACCATTAAATGATAATATGATCTATTCCTCAACTTCTTAAGCTGATTTTACCATTAGATTATGCTTATGGGTTTTGCTAGTATGAGTTAACAATTTATTAATGACTGTGAAACCGTTAAACAATTTAAATTATTTCTAAATTTTGATTGGTTTAGTATTAATTCAATATCGCGAGCTATAATAATCGGGAGCTAAGGGTAAAAATAGCTATATTTTACAGGTCTAAGAGCGTTAATAATACATAATAATTAATAATAATACGGTACTAATAATAATATTACCTATTTGTATAAAAATAGAGATTTATTAATTGTAATTTTTGTCAAATAATCTTTTAAAAATTAATACTTACTATTTAATAATTCATCACTTTAAATAATTATCACTGATAACTTATCAATAATAATAATAAGTATAATAATTATAAATATTAAATAACTTATAAAATATATAGTAAATATTTAATTTATGAAACTATAGTTATTGTGTCTGTAATCGCATAAATATACCGATTTCTGTGATTTATAATTGAATAATATATTTTATAATAAATAGTTGATGAATATTATTTTTAAAAAATTGTTTATTTAAAATTATAAAATTGAATATAAAATAATTAAAATTTTTATTATCAATTCWTATTCTTTATTATCTATTAATTAATATCTTSWATTACTATTCAAAATATTGTTACTTTAAATATACATTAGTTAATAATATTGAATAAAAATATTTTTATTGAATAAACTGTCCACAAATTATAATAAAAATTATCATGTACATTTTTTGAATAGTCAATATTACATTTTTGTTTGATTAGTTTTATTTTTATGTTTTTTGTCACCACTTTTTGTTGTCGCACTGGTAGTTGTAGTGGTTGTCCTTACTTTAGTTGTAAACGTAATCCGGAGAACTCCGTTATGTATAGTCATTGCCTTCATTTCCTTGAAATAGGTCGCAAAAAACGGCGACAACAGTATAACAAATAGCCATTGACTGACAGCACTAATAGTGTGCGGGATATACCCGTCATCACTGGTACTCCAATTCAACCGGTGCTTAACTTTGCTGTTTTTAGTGACAGCAAAGGCCCAAATGCCACAAATCAATGACAATATAAATGATATTAACATTATTACGACAATTGCTATACGAATTTTGGCCACTAGTTTGGAGTTTATCTGAATAAAAAAGATAACAATTTTATTATTTTAATAGTAAATTAAGTGTATTATACACTGTATAATATACAGTACAATACAAACAAATAATATATATTTATTTATCTATAATTTATAGACTATAAATATCATAAATACTATAGTATTTAATAATTTTTAATATATGTATAGTTATTAGTAAACAATATAATATTAAATAAAATCTGATGAAACAAATTTAAACAAATTATTAATATTAAGCTCACTTGTGGTGATAGTCTTAATGATAGCCAACTCTTAAGCGACACAAATACAAGTATAGCAACAAATAGTGTAATACAAACAATCGGATGAAAAATCCCGAATTCATTGGACCGGAAGCTGATGACCGAAGTTAATGCCAGTACTATATAGACGGCTATATAAATTGACCACCGATTGAATCGTACGATTTTCGGCCGGTTCTTCATAATTGATGTCTTCAATTGAATCATTGTATCGCTTAACGTATAAATAGTGTTTACCTGTAAATATTGTAGGTATGCTAAGATAGCAACTATTTCAGTAATTAGAAAAAATAGAAATTTTAAAAATTATCATTTTTTTCATTACAATTTTTATCATTGTAATAATAATATTATTAATAAAATCAAATAATTACATAATAGTGCAATAATGAGTGTGATCTGTGCAAAAAATCCCGATTCAATAGCCAGAGCACCGGTATCACTGGTATAGGGCAAGAAAGCATCAATGTGTTCATTGTATAGAGCAATACCATATCTAAATATATATATATATATATATAAAGAAAATATTTGTCAAAAATTAAATTTCATTAGTATATAATTAATTAATAATTAATAATAATAATAATGATATGACATACGGCACTAGTATTAGCAGAGGTATGAGTACTGCTATAGCTATAGGATAGAGATATAGACGATTCAATTTCATGATTTGACAATATTTAATATATATTTAATAACTCTTTTTTAGATAAATTATTTTAATAAAAAAACGTCTAGTTTTGAGCACTCGTTATATGATATTAAATGATTGTGTTTTAGTAAATTTGAAAACAACTTTTACTAAAATAGTAAAAACTTTACGAAATCAATGTATGACTTAATCTTTTAATACAAAATACAAATAAAGTAATGATTTAATTATCGTGTTTTAAGAAAACATAAATAGTTATTAATGTTTCAATACAGTCATATCTCTTAAATTATTAAATTCATAATAATATTATAAACAAATTAAATTTTTAAAAATAATAATTTAATAATTGATTAAAATGATATTAAAAACTTTTAATAATATTTTTTATGTGATTTTTACTTATGTATTAGTTTATTAAATAGATTATAAAGTAATATTATAAATAGTATTAACTGTAAGTTTTTTTATTTATATATTTTTTCTAAAAATGTAAGTTATGTTTCAATTATTCATTTATAACATATAAATAGTGATCTAATGCCTGAATTTATGTGCAATTAATGTGAAGTTGTGAACAATAAATAATAAAAATAATTTAAATAACGAAACAACTTGAAGGACAGTTATATACTGTAGTAATAATAGGCAAACTTATGAATTATTAATACAATACCGTATAATATTCTACTATTTTAGCTTAAACTTTAACTTATAGTTTATAAGATACGGTATGTTATGAGTATATATATGAGGGAGTGTTTGATTCATTAATTAACTGCTTAACAAACAAAATAATATTTAACACAAAATAAAAAGTTTAATTATTTTCTAAATTTATATGAAAAATACGTGGGATTACTGAAAATATTGTGTAAATAAGTAATCTTATGGTTTAATTTGTTACCAAATTTAACAAATAAAAAAATATTAGAGATTTATATTTATTTAATATAATACCACGCATTATAAGTTGACAATATTATTAACTAATCCATTTTAAAAACAAATTAATCACTTTTCACGGGTTTTATTCAATAAATGTTATGTAAAATGTTAGCATATTATATGTGTTATATTAAATAACTAGTAATAAGGTTTGAAAAAATATTGTTTATTATTAATACATTAATAAATATTCATATTGTTTATATATTTCTATTGTTTCTTAATTTTTATATATTGTACTATAATATCTAAAATGAACTGTAGTTTTAATTGTGATATATGAAATAAATTGATATTTATACAGTAAATAATATATACAGTAACTACATTTGTTGAAGTTTTACAGCAATTACTTTTTAGACAAACCAATATGTAAATAATATTGGATTTTTTACTATTTATAACAAATTTTTATTTAAATTGTTATTTTGTTTAAATTAAATGTTTCTAATTTTAAAGTTAATAAAAAAATAAAATATTTATACTTTACAAATACAATATTCATTATAATATTTATATTTTATTTAATTTTTAACAGATTTTAAATTATATAAAATGCAAACATTATATGACATTTGTAACTATAATAATGACAATCGCAACCTTTGATGTCAGATTAAAATAGCATTGTTTGAATTGATGGCAACTAAATATGACATATTTATGGTTTAATTATATATCAAAAGTTTATATAAATGCCTAAATATTTTTTAATAAACTAATAAACAAGATTAAAACAAAATATATATAATAGTAAATTTATAAAAATTTTAAAAATGACAACAAATTTTTAATTAATTTTAAATATTATATAATTAAATGATTTCTTATAAGTATTTTTTAATATCTATGTTAATGACATTTGCTTAAAATTATTAAATTTGAATTAAATTAAAATGTAATAAACATAATATTTATTTTAAGTGCTTTAAAAGGGCTTTAATTGAAATTTATTAAATTGTATATAATATTAATACATATGTGATACAAATATAATACATTAATGTATATTAAGTAGATAAAGAAAATTATTGTAGGTTTGTTAATTATATGTTTCATGTAAAAGGTATATATTTTTTAATACAATAAACAATATCATAAAAATATTGTTTTACATTAAAACTTTCATAAATGACATAATTGTATTGAATTTAATTAATTTACATCAAGGTTAGAACGCACAGGTGTTTCAACATAATAGTCTATAACTTTGTGGTCTATTAAACAATATTATTATAATAGTTGTGTTTAGTAATAATATAATAATTGTAATAATTAAATTAAATTATTATTATCATTATTATTATTATTAATATGCTAAAATTATACAGATTAAATATATTAAAATATAAATAAATAACAATCTAATTTTAAAATTTTAATAGATAACTTTTACTTTTTAATACATATTTTTTGTAATATTATACCGGTATATTAATAATAAAATTATTTTCTAATTTAATTTGTATATGTAATTAAATTGTAAATATAAACATAACATACAATAGATGCCAATCAAATATTGTTTAAAGTTTATTATAAACAGTATCTTAACCATTTGATTAAATAAAATTTGATATAACATCATGCAATTTAACAAACTAATTAATACTAATGTATATAAAGTATTATTATTTTAATTCACATGTTAATTTAGTAAATAATATTCATTAAAAGTTAATAAATAAATTTGATGACATTATAAAATTAGTATATTTTATATAAACTATTATAATATTAATTATAATTTAGTTTTTATTTAAAAGATTTACTTGTATTAAAAAAGTTGTTGATAACATAATTAAATTATTTACTCATTAACATTGTATTTAAACTGCAATAGCATTAGTGATACTAATATCATTAAATAAGTTACATTAGATAGAAATGTGTCATAATTTTGAGGTCAAAATTATTTTTATTACTTTAGTGATAATTTCGGGAACGGTATGTCGAGAACCGACTAATAATGAAGAATTGGAAGATTCGGAAAACTGGTCTGAATTAAGTACAGAGATCTGCAAAAAGGATCACTCGATTGAAGTGAAAGCAAAGATTGAGAAATGCGATGAATTAGACGTTTATTATAAATTTGATGTAAATTTATTGTTTTATATTATTTGTCAACTTTATTATCAAAAATATTTCAAGTTTTATATATTTTATTGATTTTTTTTTAATTATTAAGAGTTTGACCAAACAATGCGATAAATTACGGTCACATCCCGGCACTGGTTATTATGAGGTAGAAAAAGGAGAGTGTAAGGTATGATTTGATTACAATTATATTTTTGTCAATTAATGCTAAGTTTAAGAAAATATATCATTTAATATGTTTAGTATCAGGAATGCTATAATAAGATAAGCAAAACAAAAGAGTTTCAAGAGTTGAGCAAACAATTGGACACAACTTCAGAGGAAACCAAAGTTAAAAAATCTTATGAAAAATATGTAAGTTTTGATTGCATAAAATACTATACAATTTTTTTAATATAATATTTATTTTAAAAATTATATTTATATTTTGCTTTAAAAATAGATATGCATTAGAAAGGCATTGGGTCTAAAAGTTTGAAATTAAAATACAAAATTAGTAAACTATATTATACAGTACTAATTTAAAATGCAATTAATATAACATTTTGAAATATATAATATTATCAATAAAAATATCTATAATGATAAAACGATTTTTTAAAATGCATATCTTGTGCTGACTTTTTATAAACGGTTTTAGTATTTAAAAACCATAATAATTCAATTATAAATAAAATAATTGATGTGACAATTCCCACACTAAACGCTAGGATAGCGCTATCCAATTGAGCTAAAAATATAGGCAAAAAACTTTTATCTTTTGAATCCAATTTGTCATCACTTGTTATAAATGATTTGTCGCCAAATTCTTTCGATAAAATTCTCATTTCATTTGCTTTCCAAAAGTCTATAAATCCGGATATTTTTATTCTTTTAATACTATAATAATATAAAATACAATAAAATATTAAATCTTTATATTATTTATATTTTACTATTTTTTGTTTTGTTTTATAAGTTTAAACATTACATACAAATCATTGATTAATTTATAATATTGAAAGTCAGTTCTCATGGGAACAGCCCAGATATCTTTGAATAGTATGGCGTCGTCGATATCTTTTGGCATAAAATAATTTTCAGCCCCAAAACTAAACATATTATAAACTAATAATTCTCTAAATGTTATGTACGCTCTGTCGATGTCTTTTTGTTTAATCATTTTAATAGCATTGCTATCATCTGTTATACCAATTAGTCCGACTGCGAGGGACTTTTCAATTGCTAATCTTGAGTTCTGTAATATTTTAAAGATAATTATAAATTATTTTTTAGTTATTATAATATCAATATAATAACTAAACTTACTTTAATCATATTATAGTAAGCATCCTCTTGATTAGCCATTACTTGTATTTTATTTTGTAAGTGCAATGACACAAGTTTTTCAATTGTATCGATAGTTGTCGGAGAAGACATTAAGGAATATATACGTCCGCTATAGGCTGAGGTCAGTATTAGACACGACAAAAGCCAACCCGTGAGTAGCTCTCGTAGATAATCAGGAACTATGGCTAAGTTGTAGGTTTGTCTCAATAAAATGCAAATAACACCCCATTTAAATGTGTGCTCCCGTTTAGGCCGAAAATAATGCATCAAATGAATAGCTAATATCACAATTATAAACGATATCATAATACAAATCCAAATGTAATCATCAAACGGTTCAACAATTAAAGACATTATTGGTTTGGGTATAGGTTTGCGTGTAATAAATGTTACACTTGTTATGTAATGAGACTCAGAAAAGACTGTCACTTCTTGACGCTCTTTAGTTATACTGATTCCTGATATCCCAAAGTCTGCTTCCTTTTAATATTTATTAAAATATAACATTAAGTAAAAATCAAAATTATAATATCAATACCTTATTAACTAATTTGCCGATTAAACCGGTCCATGTTTTGTTAGGCAATTGTTGACCTACTGTATCACAAATCACTAGTTTATATGTAAAGTTAAGATATTTGCTCATCAAATGTAACATTTCGACTTCAATTCCCCGATCCATAACCAATTTGGTCGTATCATTAATATAAACAAATGGTCTGATCTATGTTTTTATAAAGTTTATAAACAATTATCAACTAATAAAATATTTAAGTAAAATTACTATAAATTATACACCAAATATTAATTACTACTCACCTCAGCTGTTGCTACAATAAAATGATACATTTGTGAAGTTATTTTTAAAATAGTAAAAAAAGTATTTATACAAATTTTGTTAAATCTTTTAACATTAATAAAGTTAGTAAATAACTATTTTATGATTATGTTTCATATTAGTCAAATATAAATCACAGTATAATAATATGATTATACATTGATTTAATAATAACTATAATCAACTGAATACTAAATGATATTTTTCATAAAAAATTTGCATCAATTATAATAATTATCATAAACTATAACTAACTTAATTCCGTTTAACAAATATTATAATTTATTTCTCAAAGTGTTTTAATATTAAAATGATATTAATATTTAATTTGAATAATGTGACTAATATATAATTTAATAAAATAGTTGTATAAAAATATCTTATTATATAAAATCGATATTGGTTTTTTAATGTCATTTAAATACATGTAAATTTATTATTAAAACAATACAATTATTATGAGGGTTAAAAAGCAAAACMTTTACATATAATTCACTACTAAAATATGCATTAAATAAATTATAAGTATTGAATATATATAACTTTACACACATTTTTAGTATTTTTAACTTAATTATTATTCTTCGTTTATTAATAATTTGAAATTAGAGATAAAAATTGGTTTATAACTTAATAGATAATAATTTTAGAAATTTATAGATAATGTCATTTATTACTCTATATTTATGTAATACATTTACATTCCATATATAACAATATAAGTTATGATATTTATATTGATATAAAAACAAACAAAATTAATAATATRTCGCATAAATTAGTAACTCCTTTATTGAGWWGAAGCTACCGATCCCTACCCTATTGGTAGAGTTTTTCAGTCGAAATGAATTAACGAAAACATTTGTTTAAACGGTTAGGCCATATGACATGTAAACATCACATCTCAAAATCGGTAAAGACTTAAGTTTTGAAAAGTATTGACAAAAGTTTACCCTAAATGGGATTTGAACCCACTACCTACAAACAAGCAGTCTATTGATTGACATACACTCTGAACCAAATATTTTTATAATAAACTAATTCTAAACTAAAACAAATTATAGATATAATAAAACCAAAAAAAATCATAACTAAAGTACTCATTATTTGGTTTAAGTTAATTGGACTAAAACTATGATTATTACTATCGTTTTCTTCATTATGAACGCCAATGAAATCGATTGAAATATTTCTCATTTCTATTGCTTTCCAATAGTCCAAAAGTCCGGCTCTTTTTACAGTTGATATACTATTTGTAAAAAATACAATATAAATAGTAAATAAGTTTTATTTATTAATTTATATTTATTTTGCTGTAAAATCATATATTGTATGAATAAAATAGATATTTAATTGACAATGTATTAGATAAAAATTTTTGGTGAATCGCCAAACGGTTACTGTTTCAACTCAATACTTGAATCCTCATTCAGCGACTGTCCTCTCAAAAAGACAGTAGCTTTTGTCACTTACTTAATATATAAGGAAARGGAGTTTAAAGTCAATAAAACAGTAATTAGCATACATTTGATTGACTGGATCTGTCAAATGAGATCCTTTGGTCAAAGCAATGGTAAGAATATCCATAAAAATGGTCGACTCATCTGTTTCTGGAGGCAAATGAAAGAGCTGTTTACCGGACCCATACATTAGTGCAATGATTGCCTCTCGAAATGATATAAACGCCAAATCGTGTCGACTTTGTTTGACTTTTTCAATGCCCTCCTCATTGCTGGTCACACCAGTCATGTCCTTCGCTAATATTTTTCCGATACCTGTAGTGGATCTCTGTGTATAAAAATACAACTTAATTAATACTTTTGATTTACAAATAAGACTTTATTACTTGTATCATCTGATAGTAAGCACTTGTATTTTTAACCAATACATGTATTTTACGGTTTGACTGTGCGATTGCCAACTCTTCAACAGTATTGATAGTCTGAGCTCTCGTTGGGAAAGACATGAGACCATACATACATCCGCTATAACTGGATGTCAATACCAAAGACGCCAAAAGCCAACTTAATATCATTAGTTTGATATTATCAGAGACTTTAACCAAATCAGACTGTTGTCGGAGTCCAATACAAATGATCATCCATTTGATCCCACTTTGACGTGAGTGACACATGTAATGATAACCAATAAATTCAATTAAATACATTAATATTATCATTACAATCATAGCGATAATAATAGACATCCAAATATAGTCGTCAAACGGTTCAATAATGAGTGTCAACACTGTTTTAGGGATGGGTTTGCTTGTGATAAATGTAACTCCGGTTATAACATGAGAATCACTTAAATCGGATATTTCTCGGCGCTCTTCAGTCAAACTAATGCCAGCCATACCTATATCTACACTCTTTTAATATTAAAAAAATATATTATATTTTGAATTAATCTATTTATTAATTACACATTTTTAAAAATACCTTATTAGCAATCATACCAAACAATTCACTCCACGAGTTATTTTGTTTGACACCGAGATTATTACATTTAATTAGTTTATACGTAAAATTCAAGTAATGGCTCATCAGATTTAGCAAATGAAATTCAATGCCTTTTTCCATAATCCAAGTTTTATTAATTTGTTGTAAATATACAAACGGTGGCATCTAATTGTACAGTAATTTAATTAATTATTATTATTATATATATATAAATAATTAATTAATTTTTTATTTACATGAGCACTTGCAACTGTATAAATTACCATATTATTTATTTATTGAATTATTATAAATTTATTTAAAGCTGTAAATTGTATCACTATTTAAGATCAAAATATTTTATAATAAAATTTTTAAAACTTTAATTCAGTAGTAAATAATACATGTGTCAAACTGCAAATACCATATACTGTTTACAGTATAAATTTATATATAAAGCATATTAAATATTAATGTTTTTTAGACACATATAATGTTTACTAAATTGTTAGAAATCAAATTCTTGAATTTACTTTTCAAATATATAATTATTTTTAATGTTTATGTTTTTTGTTATAAAATTATCAACAAAATTGTAAAAAGTTCGTTATATAGAATCTATAAGTGTGTGTCTGTTTATATAATTTTATTTGTAATTTTTTTAATTTTGTAATATTAATATATTTAGATACAAAATTTAAAACTTTTTTTTAAAAAAGTAATGCAATCACTCTTAAATACTAACTGATTGTTAGCAATGCATTGCATGTGTCAGAGATTTAAAAGAATATTATTATTATAATACAGATTATTGTTAGAAATGAATTTGTGAACTATTTATATGACTTATAAATTAGTGATTTTATGTTA